GGGGGTGGGGGGCTGCGCTGCGCGGAGGATCGGCCTGGATCGCCCCTCAGCCTCTGCGGAGGAGGACGCGGTGGATGGGGCTTTGGCCTGTGTGAAGATGTTCTGGGGCGGGGGTGGACCAGGTCCCGGTGTGTATGGGAGGGAGGATGCCTGTATGGGGAGCTCTTTGTGGGGAACACAACCCAGGTGCCGCCCTCTCGCTGGACCCTTTTTTCCTCCAGGCCCCGGGACTCCAGCTAAAACTAATCACCAATTAAGGCGAAGTCCTGGAGCCTGGGCTGGCGAGGGACCAGGGGTGGGGCACAGGGACACCCCGCCTGCGGGGCCTGGGGACCAACTGAAGTGGAGGGGACACCTCAGACTAGACGGGCGAAGAGGGGAGTGGAGGGCTCTGCGGTTAAACGGGACTCATGCAAATCTGATGCGAACCTTTATGCTAATGAGAATATTTTTGAAACCGCCACTTTGCACTGGATGCCAGACTGTGCCCCACCCCACCCCAGCTTCTTACCGGGCTGGGAAGCCCAGGCGAGGATCTCATGATCGCGCTCCCCTCTCTGATCCCCCTCGGAAAAGTTGCTTTCTGGTTCTGTACACCCCGACCCTAGGGGGGTTCTCTTCGGGGTCTGCAAGGACAGAATGACTGTAAAGAACGCTCCCTCTTAAACAACCTTAATCTCCTTCTTCCCCTTTTCTTTTCTGTCAAAATCCATATTGTCATGAAAAGGTCTCCCAGAACGTGGCTCCGGCCCTTACGATTGAACTCATGAAGCCCAGCGACTGCCCTTCGAACGCTGTTTGTGGGTAAATTGAGTTGTAGGATGCAGTCCTGCTGAAAGTCCCATAAAGACCCCCTACCCCGCTAAGGTCCCCCCTTCTTACCCCCTTCTTACCCCCTCCTGCCCGGGCAGCGTGCATGCGCGAAGCATGCCCCCCATGACCCCCAGTATCCGGTCAGTGCGACCAGGGGCGGGGCGGTCCGGGGGCTTCATGCTGCACCCCTACCCAGCTCCAAGTTTCAAGGTGGAGGGGGTGCGGAAGCTGGGGGGCTCTGAGGCCTGCGTGCGTCCGGGGAGTTGCAGCTGCTGAGTCCGCCCCCAGCACGGCTCCGCCTCCGCTCCCACCCTAGCCAAATTTCGATAAAGGGGTAGGGTTGTTCCCTTCTGTACAACCATAGTTCAACCACATACAAACCCCTCTTAATCCCGATCTCAACATTGAAACACGGCTCAGCACTTAGCAATGTTATCACAGAGTCCACTAGTTACATCCCACTTCCCTAAATCCTACTCCGCTCCCCCTAGCCAAATTTCGATAAAGGGGTAGGGTTGTTCCCTTCTGTACAACCATAGTTCAACCACATACAAACCCCTCTTAATCCCGATCTCAACATTGAAACACGGCTCAGCACTTAGCAATGTTATCACAGAGTCCACTAGTTACATCCCACTTCCCTAAATCCTCAGCAAGCACAAGACAATGGGATTCCCCCATTTCCCCCTTTTCCCTTCTGAGTAGAGCCTGCTTCCCACCCCACCCTCTCCCGGTCCACAGAACAGAATGGGTGTGGCATAGAGTTGCATATTTTACTTTATTTTTATTAAATTAAAAGCTACAGTCTGGTGATAATTCCAGAACAGAGTAAGGAGAGCTCCTTACAGGGGGCAGAGAAGAGAGGAAAAAGACAGAGACTGACAGACAGAGACACAGGAGAGAAAGGACAAGGTTAAGGTAGGAGAATTGTATCTTATGAACACACCACAGCTGGCTCCTGGGAGAGGGGGTGTCGCAACAGTCCATAGTGGAGCAGTATGTGGGGGCGGGGTTCGAGAGACCTGATCCTGCCCACCCAGGTCCTTTCTCAGCTTAGTGGAGCACAGCACATACCAGAAAAGGCCGAGGGCAAAGGAGGGGCAGGGCAACTGGGAGTATGTACAGGGGAGCGGGGAGCAGAGCTTGGAGACCAGCCTCTGCCAGAAGGGAGTGGCTCACAGGGCACTGAAGCACTTGGCCAACAGGGGACAGGGGAAGGGATTGCCCTTCCCCTCTGAACTCCCTCCCTGTCAGACAGGTCCCCTACTTGTGTGGTGTGGAGGGCAGAAGGAAAGGAGAACAGAGGCTTCCACTGGGTCCTAGTAGAGGACAGCAAGGTGGCAAAAAGGATGTCCTTCAGTCATCTGTGATACCCTTGGCTCTCAGTTCCTCTTGCACACGGGTCAGGTAGGTGGGGTCCGGGTACCCAAACCTGGGAGCAAAGAGAAATGAGGGCCAGGGTTAGCTGTTTGGGCTTGAACTTAATACTCCCGTACCCACCCTCATTCTGGGTGATTCTGTACAAGCCTCATTCAGATCCCTTTTCACCTCCCCTAAAGCTGATTCCCTCCAAACCCAAGGCTGGTTCTTCATATTTTTCTAGGTTAAATTAGGCATATCAGACTCAGATTAAAATCAGGAGATGGGAGGGAAGACATGTTGAACAGTTGGGGGTAGTCCTCTCCAATTAGGAAGCTCCCAGAGGGAGAGGGTGGATATTGTTCCCTCAGTGGAAATTAAGATAAAAGGAGGAGCCAAGGGGAGAGAGATGAAGAGGAGTCACACAGCTGAGGTCCCCCTGTGCAGCTGGTCTTGTGGTGGATGTCGTTCCAGGTGATGACATTCGGTCTCCCCGTAGTCATGGACGTGCCAATAGTGAAGGTGAGACGCTGGTCAAATGCCTTTCGGAACAGGGTCAGCACCTTGTTGCCCTCAGGGCAGTCCGGGAGGTAGGCTACCCGTGTAGTGCCAGGGTACCGAACTCCTGGGTTTGGATGTTCAGCCTGGGAAGAAGGGAAAGCAGCACTGGAAGTGAGCAGCTGGACATCCTAAGGCCTGCATGCCGATGGAGGGTCATCCTAGCCAGCCATCTGTCTGCGTACTCCCACTGATGCTGAAAGGGGAGCAACAGGCTGCCAGCTTTCCAGGAAAGGAGGCAGCAAGAGCCTGTTTCTGAACATAATCCTTATTGTTAAGAGGTTCTTTCAGCTGTCACAATCCCCCAAACCTCAATTCAGTAACAAATGGACTCTCAGAAGTGATGCAAAGTAGTTGGTCCTTACTCTGCAGACAACTCTGCAGAAATGTTAAGACTAAGAAAAACTTATCTTTCAGCATTCCTTCCTCTACCCGAAAACTATCTCTGCCACTATTTAACCTGTTCCATTTTTCTGAATTCTTTTTTTTTTTTTTCTATACCGGGGATCAAACCAGGTCCTTTGCGCCTGCAAGGCAGGTTGCTGAATCACAGAGCCAAATCCTTGGCTAACCTGTTTCATTTTCTATTTCACCTTTGGAGACTCCTCATTCCTCTTTGAACCAGAGTTGACATTTCTCTTTGTCCAGCAGGAAGACACCTGTAAGCCCTTGACCATTCCTGGTTTTACCTTCCAGCCTCTTCAAGCTTTTATTGTCTCATATGAAACAGAGTAATTCTCTCACTCTGTTATGTCTGCTGATATGTCTGCTGTACCTGCTGCCATCTCCACAGAAGTTACCAAGAATGTTTGTCAATATCCATGTTCATCAGAGAAATAGTATTCAATTCTCTTCTCTCATACCTGATTTTTTTTTTTTTTGCAGCGTTAGGTATCAAACCTAGCACCTCCCACATGCTAGGCACACACTCTACTACTGAGCCGCACCCCAGCCTTCACACTTGATTATTCTGTGTGCTTTGGGATCATAAGGATGGAAAAGCTGGGCCTCAAGGCAATGTCCTAGCCCCAAGTCACTGAATAGGAAGGCATACTGGAGACAGCCAAGACTGTCACATCTAACACACTCACCCTCACCCAATTTTCTTAGGTCAGAGGGCAAGCTTGGGAAAAATCAAAGGGTAAGGGCAGGCCGTGGTTTTCTTACCCCCTGGACACCGGGCGGGAAGACGTACTGGATGACAATGGTGCCGTACTTCTCGTAGCTGGGCAGAAGGAGGGTGGCATCCTTGGAGACCAGCATCCGTCCATTCTGGGGCTGGTTGCCCACCAGCTGCCCATAGAAGCGGCCGCACATGGGGCAAGCCTTCTTCACCTGCAGGGCCCGGGTGATGCAGCCCTCACAGAATGAGTGCCGGCACTTCTCCAACGTCTTGGCATTCTGGATCTCCCCCAGACAGATGGGGCAGGTACTTTCCTGCTCTTCTGCCTCCTCCCGAAGGCGGGGAGGAAGAGGAGGGGGAAGGGGAGGAGGGGGAGGGGGGAGCCCCCGTGCCCCAGGGGGCAGGATTGGGGCTGCTCTGAGAGGGGGTGGCCCTGGGCGGTGCAGCTCAGGGTGTTCCCCACCACCACCCAAAGCCAAGCAGCCCATAAGCTCCCCCTGCCTCTGAGCTTTCTTCAGCTCTTTCTCCGCCTCTTTCAGCAGCCCCTTGAGAGCCTTCCGGGCAAGGTAGAGCCCGTTGGGAGGGGCTGGGGGAGGGCCCTGTGGGGAAAGCTGGAGAACATAGATGTCAGAAGTCTCGCCATCTATGAGGATGGACACTCGGTGCTCCTCCCGAAGCCGGGCCAGCCGGGCTGGGGTCTCCTTGCTTAGGAAGTCCCACACAGGCTTGGAGACAGTCACTTTGTTCTTGCAGGTGCCTCCACAGGCTGCCATTCTGGACAGGACGAACGACACTGCCCCCAGGATGAAAGGGACTCAGGGTGGGGGGGGTCCCCATTTGAAACACATAAGTGCCTCCTAGTTCAGGTTCCTTCCAAACTCTTGTTACCTCTGTTTTCTCAAAGTCCAACCCCATCTCCTCCACCAAATTAATTTTCTATTTCCCCCTGTCTCTCATACCCCAGCCCCCCCTGAGGAGCAAGGAAGTTTCTTCCCCCATTCTCTTATCAGCCTTGGCTTTCCTTTTTTTTTCTCCCATGATCATAGAAACACCCTACCCGCCCCCATCCTGGGTGAAAAATGGGCCCTTTAAAGGGGAGGGAGACTTTGGGCCCTCATTTTTGCTCACTTTGATCCTGAAGAGCTTAGAATTGGCATGCAGGCTCACTGTCTTTCCCTGCTCCCTACTTGTAGGTTGTGTGACCTGGTGGGGTGGGAAGGAAAAAGAGGGAAAGTAAGAAATCCCTTCCCCGGTCCCCACCATCCCAAACCTAGCCACCCATGTGACAGGCAGAAACCTGGATATAGGTTACTTGGCGCACTGGAGGAACCCAAGTGTAAGGGCTGAGGTTCTCTTCAGAGATGGGTACCTGGGAAGCCCATGGAAGATGGTGGCAGCAGAAATCCTTCTATTTCTACACTCAGCTGACCAAGACTGGGGGGTGAGAGGAAAGGGTTAGGATAGCAAATGTTACCATTTCCCTCATCCAGCCAGGAAATAAAGCTCCTATCTGCCAATCCTCCCCTGTAGAATCCCTTCCCCAGCTCCACTCTCCCTAAGTTATTAAACTCCAACATGCCAACCTTCCTCTATTCCCCAGTTCTGAGGCTTTCAAGAGAGCCGGGGTGCAGAAAGAAGCCCACAGAGATGGAGGTCGTTCTTGCTACCTCCCTCAGATCACAGGGACAGGAGTATTTCTCATGTTCTCCAACTCCTTGTCCTATTCCAAGTAATTCAGTCCCCTTTTGCTGAAAGGGAGCCTTTCTTAAGAGCTAACTCAGTCCCTCTGCTGAAGTTGGTAGGGATGTCAACAAAGTGGCAGCAGCCGCTACATGCAGTAGCAAAGTTCTCACTGTCACCTTTAAACCCAACACACGCATCAACACCTCCTGCCCCTCAGCTTAGTCTGGAGTTTGAAGGGATGGGGCCCCAGGGGCTCAGCTGGAGGGGCCTGATGTTTCCCCTGAGCCCTGTCACATTAGGCTACAGGGCTGTTCCCGCAACACCTCCAAATACAGCTCTATTAGAAAGAAGGACCATTAGCATGACCTCAATTTATTGAATGATAAAAAGGAGCTGCTATCCATTCGTGCCTCCGTCTTAGTACCCTCAAAGCCAGATGCATCTCAAGATTCACGAAGTAAAAACGGAGCCCCAAGTCTCAGCCCATTCTGACTATGCACGTTTGGAACGACCCCCCACCACCACCACCAGAGAGGACCCAGGTTCTAGGTGTCTTAACTCCAGGTCCTGCTAGCACAGCAAAGGGAGGCGGGGCCACAATTTAGGCTGGGTCTGTGATTCCTCTAGGGCAACCCAGACCGGACACGGGGCCAGTCTCCTCCAGACAGCGACCCCGCGGCAGGGACAGCCAGGAAGGGCACGGGTCCCTGAGGTATCCACTGGGGCAGCTCCACCCCTCCCCCCACGGCCTCCTCCAAGACCCGACCCGGAACCACCTCCCCCTATCCTCCACTCGCGGAAACCCCCGAACCCCAGCGCCGGGTGGGGATTCATGTCAACCCGACTGCGGCCCACAGAACCCCCAAATTGAGGCCAAGGCTTGAGGGTGCTAGAACGATGCTCCGCCCGGCCCCGGGGGCCACCCCCCTACCCGGCGCTCGGCACCAGAGAAGGAGTGGAGGAGGGGACGCGGAGGGAGCGAGGGTCTTGCGAAGGGTGCGCGCGGGTCCGGGGGGCACGCGGTGGGTGTGGGGGGCGCCGGGCTCACCTACCTCTAGTCAGCGCCGCCATTGCCGGTCACATGACTGAGGCTGTTGCTGGGATGACGGTCCAGGCCTTAGCAACAAGGGGGGGGGTGGCTCGAGAAGGTGGAAAGGGGTGCAGGGGGTGCAGACCCAGGGAAAGGGAAGGACGGAGGACAGCACCTCCTTCCCTTTCGCAGGTGTTGATGACTGTTTCCTTTGACCCTTTCTACTCGGGAGCCCCTGCCCTTCCGCCCCAAAACAAAAATGGAGGCACAGTCCCAGTCTTTGGAGGGAGAGGGTGGCGTCAAGTAGCCGAGGGTAGGTTATAAGCCTTACAGACGCCACCCCTCTGGCTTCCCCCTCCCGGAGAGGCCTTCTCCCTGGTCTTTTCCAGCTAGCTGCGTGGCAGCTTTTGGGAACTAGTGGTGGATGGGTGGGTGAGCAGTGTCGGAGGGTATATGGTAATTTGGAGAGGACAATTTTTAGAAATCCTTTTGGTAGAAGGGTCTTTGAGGAACAACGTGGGATAGGAGGTTTTAGCAAAAAAAAAAAAGTTTTGGTGCTACAAAATAATCCCATTACTAAACTACTTCAAACCCCTCCCTCTTGCCTCTTTCTAGATTGTTACCTTCTGTGACTCTCACAATCTGCCAGGAGATGGGTACTCTTAAGTACCTGATTTTTCTTTTCACAAACAAGGACACTGAGACCGGTGCAGAATGGGAAGTGAATAATCTTTTTTAAATGGCTTGGGATGGTGGTGGTGTCAAATGTTATGGTTCAAGTAAGAGTTAAAAATTCTCAAAGGGGAAAAAAAAAAAAGATTCCTCTTCTCTGTTTCTCACATCACAGCAGTCTCCACCCCAGCCCAACTCACTTCCCTAGGGCCACATCAAGCCAGGTTTTTCCTCCAGCCTAGGACCTCCTCAGCCAAGACACACTGAAATCTCCCAGACTGGCAACAAACCTAGTCATCTACCCCTTTTTTCACTCCCTCTCTGGACTGGAGGGCTGGTCACTCTTCATTTTCCTAGGACCCTCATGTTCTCTTACTGTCCCCCAAGCAGATCTTTTCCAGGAGGCCAGAACACTGAATTCCTTTTGATTCAGCTGGTAGGCTGAGGCCCACTCCCCTCTAGAAATGGAGTGAGCAAGCCTGGAGCCCTGGGATGAAGGCCATGCCATTCCACTTCCCTCCAGGCCTCACTACCGCAATTCCCACAAAGTTGACAAATATTTCCCATTCCTAGTCCACCCCTCACCACCTTTTAAGTTCACAGCCATCTTTGAATCTCACATCTTTCAACTAGAATTCTTCAATTGGTCTTAGGATTTCTCAGAATTAAAAAAAGTTTTAAAAAAGCATTTCTGCGAAGGAATTTGGATTGAATAATTTATTTTTGTATTGTGATGGGAGTAAATACATTAAGATCTTTTATTAATAAAACAAAAAAGGTGAAAAACAGAAGCAACAAATGAAGATTATACTGCCTAAGATACATCAGCCGCATAATCAGTAAACCCCAGTTTTAAAAAGCAACAGCTGCTGGTGTCACGAAGTTTTTTTGCATTCAACAGGGGAAAGGTAGATGACGGGAATGGAAAAGACCCAGCAGGTGCAGGACAGGAAGATATTACAGGGGCTCCAACCCAACACTGGAGACTTCTCTTGCTATCTCCTTTGAAGCAGAAGGTGAAACGAAGGCAGTTTCTCCCTTATGATCTCATACCTTCTTGTGAGACTGGTTAGTCCAGCCAGACACAGAGCAAAACAGCTTTGCATCCCCACAGGCCAGTTGCTGGTGCCCGTCTTTATGTGAAAAAAATGTAGATGCTTCCAGGGGGTGGGAGATACTAAGAACGAGTATCTGAGCCCCAAAGGCAATGGAGGGAGGGAAGGACACCTATCTCATTACATCAGGGTCCTCTACATTCTGAGAGTATCACCCATTAATTCAGCTAGCTTTGGAAGTGGATGGGTGATTGAGTTATGGCTCTGACTCCTCTCTGGGGGAGGAGAGTGAAGATGACAAAGAAGTCCATCTGTCCCCTGGGAGACACAGTAGCAGTATAAGATGGGACAGAAGAGAGCAGAATGAAAACAAATCCAGCTGAAAAAAAGGGTCTGAGAAAGGGCAGAAGGAAGTATGCTAGCTGCACACATTCAGGGAGGTTCCCACACTTGAGACCTCCATCCTGTTGAAATGACCAGAACTGACCCGAGAGATAGTCCTTCTTGCTGGAAATAAACCTTGGGGACAGCTAGCCAGGAAGAAAGGAAACTGAATACGGAAATGAGCTGTACACTGGCCCATCATTCCAGCCTCCAGAACTGGCCACACCCATTGAAGACTTCCAACTCCAGGAAAGGATGAGGTTCTGGTTCACGCAGCAGTAGTCAAACACCTTCACCCAGGTTCAGACACTCCTGGCCATGCCTGGGTGTCTGTACCCAGATTTGCATGATGTGTCTGTACTCAGATGTGCAAATGGATGCAGATGGAAGTAGGAATGGGGTGGGAGAAGACTGGAGAGTAATCACTCTTTGTCAGCGACCTTCTCCAATGCACTCCATAGTCACCAAAGTCCTCTTAGGTCCCTGTCTCTGTGAGGTGCCAGCCTGCTGACCACTCCCCATCCCACCTCCACGTGTTAGATAGGCCATTTTCTATCATGTGTGCATACGTCTGTAGTATCCCAAAAATCTTCCATCCCGGGGCCTACCAGGAAGGAAATACACTAGTGAGTTCTATAAAGTTACCCGCAAATTCTGACACTTTCAGTTCATTCCATGGAGCAAAGTGCACCAAGTAGTTTCTTGAGCCAGGTCCATCTGTCCAGTCAGGTCTTGAAGATGGCAAACTGCCCCCCTCCCTACACCTCATATCTTATAGAAACAATAGGATATTTTACAAAGATCAAGGCACTTGGGAGAGTCAACAGTAACACTCTAATGAAGCAAGAGGGCTTGCTGGAGGGAGGGAGAGAAGGAGCAAAAATGGACAGAAGGGAGAAAGAGCAATGTATTTCTGGGGACCAAGAAAAGCCTATTCAACAAGATGGAGATATCTGGATGAAAGCCTGAATTCAGCATAGGAGGAAGAGAAGTAGTGGCCAAAATATCCACAATTCCCCCAAGCCGCTCAGAACCCTGCCACCTTGAATGTGAAGCAGCCATCACCATGGAGTCACACAGGCTCTTAGGCAAAGATGTTGGTAATAAAATCCAGGAATCGCTTAGCATACTGCTCAGGATGGACAGTAGAGATCTCTGCCCCTGCCTGTGAGGAGGTATGAAACAATGTGTCAGGCCACCTCACCAGTCTTCCCCATTCCCGGTCCTCCCACCTACTCCAGCCCTTTCCCTTTTGCCTCCCCAGTGTTCTGACACAAAGAGGCTCTCTGCTCAGAAACAACCAAGACGGGAAAAGGGAGGTTTTGGGGAATGCTCACCCCATGCTTGACAGTTTTGGCTGCGTGAGCTGCTTTCTTCTTGGCATCATATTGTGTCAGGATGTCAATGAGGCCCATGAAATACACCTCCTTCTGGGGGGCCCCTGAAGAAAGATCAACAATGAAAAAGCAGCTGTGGTCCAAATCCTCCTTTCCCAGGAATCAGCTTTGTTTTTGTCTCTCCACTCACCACCTGGTCTCTGTCTAAGGACAGCCCTCCCCTCTCCACCCTCAAAATTCCAAGGTCTTTCTCACCCTCAGCACTCCGGATGGCGTAGACATCGATGTAGGACTCAAACTCTCCAGGTCCCAGTGGTCGATGGGAATGAATGTAGCCTCCAATCCCCTCAGGGGAGGTGCCGTAAGAGCCCACCAGAGCAGAAGGTCCAGTCAGATTACAGTCCCCATCCCACTCTGCCTCGTCCTCCCGAACAGGCCCCTCCTCCTCTGGTTCCGAGCCCCGGATAATGTCGTGAATGCCCAGCAGAAGGCTGTAGTCCATTATCTTCAATTGCACTAGAAACTGAGACCCACTTAAAGATCAGAAAACCCAGATCTCCTTCCCCACTGTCAGGTAACACTTCTACACCTCTATCCTGGACTTCCTGGGCCCCTCCTAGGGAACAGTAAGGATAAAAATGAGACTGGGGTCTCCCACTGCCTTTTAGGGCTAAATGTTCTAGAATCTATAATTACCTCTTTATTCATTTCAGCCTCCATGGGTTTTTTCTTATCTCACACTCAACCACTAAATATAGAGGACTCAAAGAATAAGCGGAGGGGAGGAGTTCTCTATTGTGAATGGAACAGACAACTAAAAAAAGGAAAGAAAGGCACTTCTGAGCACCCCAATCATCACCTCCACATCTCTCTTTAGCTTCTCCAGAAATGTTTTCTTCTCCTCCTCACCAATGTACACTTTCTGGTTCTTGTTGAGGAAGTCCATATCCTTAAGGGTTGGCAATTCTTTAACCTGCAATAGGGAAAAGGACATCTTGGGACTATATCCCCTCCCTAGGGCCTGAACAACCCTGCCTCTGTGCACCACTGTCTCTACCTCAGCGGCCTTGAGGACAGCAGTTTCACACTGTCCAATGAATCCATTCTGTGAGTCAGGTATAGTTGTGCCTACCTGTAATTCCAGCAATCAGGAGGATGAGGTAGGAGGACTGCCATGGGTTTGAGGCCAGCCTAGGCTACAAACTGAGTTCAAGGAGAGCCTAAGCTACACAGTGAGAACATGTCTCAAAAAAAAAAAAAAAAAAAAAAAAAAAAAAAAAAAAAAAAAAAAAAAAAATCCCAAACTGTGATGCTTGCCCAAACTCAGTCACTCAGCTGTACTACTATCCCAAATCACAACATACTCCACCTTTTTTGTTTTTTTGGCACAGTGCTAGAGATTGTATTCAAGGCCTTGCACATGCTAGGCAAGCACACTACCATCAAGCTACACCTCTAGCCTGCACTTGTACTGTAAAACTTTCTGCCAACAGTCTTCAATAAAATCTCCATGCTGACTTTTCTTCCTTCTTCTTTAGCAGAAATATCTATTTCAATGCAGGACCCGAGTGAGAGCTGGAGGGTGGACATTTTGCCCTAAAACCCAGTATCTCCACCCATCCCCACACCATCCACACAAATACCCCCTGCCAGGGAAAAAGCAGCTGCTACTACTGCCCCTCCAGACTACCTCTGTGTTGGCAGAAGTTCACATCTCTCTTCTTGTCAGTGGCTAGAGAATAAATGGCGGCTGATCCCCATATGGAGAATGGCCCCCTCATCCTAAGAAGACCCCTTTCATCCCCAGCCCCACCCCTCACCCTGACACTTAAAATGAGGGTCACCTTTTCCTTATCGCTGGCTTCCCGGGACACTAGGGAACCCTGTGGAGAGACCCAAAGACCAAGTCAGCAGAAGAGGACAAAAGAACAGAACCCAGCTCCTAAGAGGAGTACTCAAATTCATACCCTTGTGTTCTTTAAAAGGAATTATCCAATGCCCTCTCGGGGACCTCCCTATATTCTCAGGTCACCAGGATCCTCCACCCCTGAAATCTCCTCTCCTTACCTTGAGGTCATACTTCCTGTGCACAGGAAGTCGGTGGCTGAACATATTGCGCATCACAAGCATGTAGCTGTCTTCGTTATCCACGCTGACTCGGTACATCCCCAGGAACTGGGGCAGCAGTGTGCTGCCATGGCACTTCACAATGTACTGGGGTAGGAAGGGAGAAAGGCATAAGGAAAGGCTGCTAGACATACGAACTGCTCAGGGATGAGAATCCTCATTTCAAGGGGGGCACAAAACTCAAGCAGAGAGCTGGGTGTGGTGACACACAACTGTGGTCTCAGCACTCAAGAGGCTGTGGCAAGAAGATCACCAGGAGTTTGAGAGAGAGAAAAACAAAAGATAACTTCAAATAGAAAAGTTATGAAACCAAAAGTAATGGGAGATTCCTAAAAATGTCCCTGGTTACCCACATGGTTTCTGAATCCCTATGTCTTCTGATTTCTTCCATATGTATAAAGTGGAAGCGAATCCTCTCATTCCACCTTTATTATTCTATGAGATAAAGAAGGTAGGTTTATTATCTTTACTTTACTTTAGGCCCTCTCTATATATAAGTGGTCAAAGAACCACAGTAAGGACTTACTTCTGCTTATCAATAATACGATTTATGCAAACCAATATTTCTTGGTGAGCTATATTCCTGTAGCCTGTATGAGGATTATTTATGATATACTGTAGCTTTCATGCTGAGTTATATCTCCAGTCCTTTTTATTTTTTAATTTTGAAACAGTCTCGCTAAATTGCCTTGGCTTAAATTGACTCTAACTTGTGATCCTCCTGACTCAGCCTCTTCCAGTGCTCAGATTACAGTCACGTACCATTATGCTCAATTTGATAATCTACATTCTTAAAGGGTAATTCCTCAGCCAGGCATGCTAATACATGCCTGCAATTCCAGAAGGCTAAGGCAGCATAAGTTTGAGCCCAGCTCCAGCAACTTAGCAAGAACCCGTCTCAAAATTTAAAAAAAAAAATTTTTTTTTAAAGTGAGGAGGGCTAGATATAAAGCTTGGTGCAAGGACCCTGAGTTCAATCCCCAGTACCACCACAGTGGTGGGGAGACAATCCCTCTTTCAGGGCTGGATGTGTAGCTCAGCAGTAAAGCATTTGCCTAGCATGCTTTAGGCCCTGGGTTCAACTCCTAGCATAGCAAAACAAAACAAAACACAACACCAAAACAATTCTTCTTTCAATGCTTGTCTCTCTCTCCCTCTCAGTGTGTTACTACCTATTTCTCTTCAAAGCCAACTTTCTCAGAAAAGTAATCAGCAATCAGTCCACTTCCTCTCATTCATGCCTAAAACCACTGAAATAAGATTTATGCCCTCATTTCTCTCTGAAATCATACCAAAATCTGTTATCAAGTCCAGCTGATATTCTAGTCATTGCCATATTTTAACTGTAGCACCTGACCCTGTTAGCCAGTCTCTTTAAAATGCTCTTTATCCCCAAGTCTCATCACACCACTCTTGATTTTTCTCTGCCCTCAAACCCTTTATGGAATGTACTAGGGCATCCATAGTTAAGTGCCCATCTACTCTTTGTCACCTTTATGCATTTTTTTTCTCTATTTGTTCCTTAGGGTTCTGTCTTCAATGTCCTTTTCAATTCACTACATACACTTCCCTTCAATAAGCTTATCTACATTTTTAAGTGATTTTAAGTGAAAATAAGTGATTTTAATAACCACATTCATATACAACTAACAAATCTATACTTCTAGTCTAATCCTTCCTTGAATTCCATAGACATACCTCCACCACTTATTGGACACCTATATGTGGATGAACTGCAGAAACCTAAAGCTTACCGTGTTAAATCAGAACTATCTTCCTCCAAAAACCTGTTCCTCTTTCTGTTTCCCAACTGTTGTTAAATGGGTGCCCAAGAATTTGGAGGCTCCTTTGACTTAGCTCCCATTATATTCTCATAGGCCTTCCTTAGCCACTCTGCTGACCTGGTCTTTGGGTCTCTCCACAGAGTACCCCAGTGTCCCAAGAAGCCAGCCATGAGGAAAAGTCGACACTCATTTTAGGTAAAAAAGTGAGGGATGGGGGAGGAGAGAGAGAGAAGAAAGATTTTCCTAGGAAAAGTACAAAACGATAAGGGACACAGCAAATTCTTCGGTTAAGTAAAACACAAATAATAATACAGAGAACTTTCCTTTCCTTTAAATTTCTAGTTTTTGAAAACAGTATGAAGTGCTTCTGGGAGAGACACAAAAGTTTTTTGGGTAGAAAAAGGGACAGGGAGTCTTTTCGTGTGTTCTGGCAGATGAATATATACTATAGGGATGAGGAAGAAAGAATGGGTAGGACAGAAGCTGGACCTGATGGTAGTTGGAGAGGTTGCTATGCATGTCAGCAATGTCCTCACTGGATACTTCTTTGATGACTAGAGTTCGATCATAGGAGATGAGAAATCGGCCATCACTGCCTTCACTTTCACTCGGGGGACTTCGGGTAAGGGACACCTAAAGACAAAGAACAAGCTATAGGTTCTTTTCCCTTTATGTGGAGAAATAAGTCAAAGGTTAGCAACTAACGAAATGCTTCTAAACCCATAAGAAACCGTCAGTAAAATATTGAGCAGGGGTTCTTAATCTGGTGTCCATATGTAGACCAAATAAAAAGTGAATGCAAAGTTTTCTTTCTCATTGCTGTTTGTAATACTGGGGACTAAACCCAGGGCCTCACATATGCTAGGTAATTACTTTACCACTGAGCTATATCCCTGGCCCTTTATATTTTTTTAATTTTAAGACACAGTCTTGCTAAATTTCCCAGGCTGACCTTAAATTTGTGATCTTCCTGCCTGTCTCCCAAAAAGCTGGGATTACAGGCATGTGTCACTGCATCTAGCAAATGAAAAATTCTAAATGTATCTATATTTTTTCCCAAGGATGTGCTTAATTAGCTGTTTTTGTTTTTTTGCAGTACTGAGGACTGAACTCAAAGCCTTGTGTGTGCCAGGCAAGTGCTCTACCATTGAGCTTCAGCTACATCCCCAGCCTTCATGGGATCTTTGAAGATGACTTAGATCACAAAATAATAAAGAATCAAATCTGCTGAGACTTTTATTTCTCCAATTATGACTATCCCAAGGACTCCCAAGTTGCTAGGCACTATCTTTATCCATAATGGACTCTCACCAAGTAATCCTGGTCATCAATGCCAAATCTATCACGGAGGTTCCTGAAGACCTGGGGACAATATTCCTTGAACTTGAAATGACTGGGTAGATTTTCCCTGAAATACAGGTTTTTATGGTGAAACAACAAAATACTAATATTACCTTACATTTATACAATAGGGCTTGACAGTTTATAAAACACCTTTACACTTACCTCATCTGATTCTCATAAAACCCTGTAAGGTACTTTTAAAGGTATTTTATAGAAGGGAAGACTGTTTCAGGGTGACTAAGTGACCTAAATTAAATGGCTGGAAAGTAGTATAATCAGTAGCATTTCCCAAACCCCAAACAAGTTAAGAGACATTCTAAAGTTAGCTATAGGTACTACTGTTTTTTAAAATGGCATATTCTGGTACTAGAGGGGCTTAGAAGACTAAAGTACTTCTTTGAAGGAATCCTTATCAGTGGATAACAGAACTGGCCTGTGAATGTATTCACTCTATGAAATTGCTAGGCAGGGGCAGATAATACTGGTACACAGAAGATTTCAGAACACAATGGAAATTATTTTAATTTCCTTGCACAAAACTTTCTGCATTGGGAAGGATGTCGGCCACACATTTATGAGATGACTTCCAAATCTAAAACTTTTAACTCACGGGTTCTTTTAAAATCACTTCTATTTCTTTTTCTAGAAGGTTGCTGTGAGAGAGTCAAAGATTCCTCACTTACCTATGGAAAAGGTGATTGTTGACCTTGATCTTAGAGCTAGCCTTAAAGTCATCTGGCAGAAGCATCACCGGGGGAGGTACTTGGCTGAGCTCATTGATCTGATAAGTCAAAACATGAAGAAGGAAGCAGTAAGAGTGTGGAGAGATACTGATACAATGTGTCTGGGCAGGAGGTAGGGAAGGGCAACTCAAACCTCATTCCTTTAAAAACACTGGCTGTGAATATGTTTGAAATCAGAGAATGTGTCTAAGTCCTTCTGCTGCCCAAGAAGGACTGCTGTAAGCAACCCGTACACTCCCACCCCCGTGGAACTTCATGCTCACAACAGTGATTTTATATTAGGAAAACTCTGTAAGCAACTCAGGACTATTTTTAAAGCTGTGAGAAATTCTAGAAAAAAGGAGAAAAAAAAAGTACCCCTGGAGACTCAAGACAGCTACTTGCTCCATTTTAAAAAAATATTTTTAAGTTAATGGGACTCAGAAGGGTCAAGAGCAGCATGAAGATGAAATACCCATATCCTGTAAGGAGTATCTCCTTACAAACAAGAAGTCCTATCACACCACTCTGACCCAGTTCTCTGCAGTAGATACCCACCTGCCTAGGTATAAAGTAAGAGAACAGCTGATCTCAGAGGAAATGCAGGCCATCAGAAGACAAGAGCTCATTAAGTGACTGTTTCCTAAAGTCAAGCCCAAAGGATAGAAGTATCTTATGTTCTTCTTTGCCCCAGGATCTGCAGCCTGCCAAGTCAGGGTGGTAGAAATGAAGCTTCTGTGTTTAGGAATTTCAAGGAAATATCCTTTCTCCTTGATGTTTAAATTACCTCTCACCTGCCTTTAATAGTGCATGATGTACCTATCACATGATCCTAACTGCTAGTTTATGTAAGTACCATCACTGCCAACCCCAGACTGTGAGCTCTTCATGGACAAGGGCTCATCCCAGCCTTCGTATTTCTTAGGTGCCTAGCTAGCACAATGTCTGGCACACAGAGATCCTGAAATGTTGAGTAACGGAATAAATTAATGTCTTGCCTACCCTTACTTGATAATTTGAAAAAGGTTAAGAATTGCAGCCTAACCTAAATCCCACATGCTGCAGAGCATGCAACTCCTCCTGCTCTTGTAGAAAAGGAGGGCAGAACAGATTCCTCAAGGAAAAAAATAAGTCACTTGAGATTCCCAGCCTAAAATTCAGCTATAACTCTTCTTGCCCCCTCCTTACCACCTGCTAAGCAGGATGAATCATCACTAAGGCATATGTTCAAGGAATTTCTCCATTCCGGACACTTGAAGTAGATATGTGTTGGCTGAAGGGTGGGCTGGTGGAACTAAAGAATATATACTTAAAGAAGCCAAGGCAGGTCTTCCATGTAATCCTCCAATCTTTACCCTCTCTATTAAGCTTCCTACAAGGAAGATAAACACCTAACCTGAAAGGTAGATGTGAAGAGGCAGTCCGACCTCCATCAACCTTGCCCATAACAAGTGCATTAGACTGGACACTTGCTAATAAGACATTATCACTCAGAGGGCTGCAAATACAAACGGGAGCCAAATGACCCCAAACCACATCCTAAGCTAAAAATTAAGAATGAGACAAAAACTGTATTCTTCCTCATCCCCTCCATCCCCACAATCCTGTGACTATAACAATTCAAGAAAGTTGATTACTAAAATATTCCATCACATCCAAGATCACTGCATCCCACTCACTCCTTATCTGCGGGAAAGGGGTCTATGTCTGTGCTTCCTTCACTGGAGGAATCCTCAAGAAGATACACTGGCCTCCTCCTGACTCCTAAGCTAGACCCTTTAGTTTCCTGTCCCCAAAGTTCACCAACATGGTGTTCCTGGGATCAGAGCTCCTCTGCTTCTCTTTGGTCAAAAATAACCTCCACTTCTCCAAATACCATCCCTCCAGCCAGCGATGGAAATGCAGTTAACAACAAAGGCACATATACATTGAATACTGGATGAGTGGAACCTTTAGGCTCAGGGTGGGGTGCCTTTTCTAACAAACATGTTGTACCTCTGGAAGGCAAAGGAAGGGAAAACAGGATTAGAAAGTCCAAGAAGCCTGGAGCTTCTCCCAGACAAACTCAAAGCTGCAAACTCAAGGGCTGAGGCTAGAAACAAGGTGGAAAGGACAGTGAACGAACCTTTATCAAGCTACCCACCCTCCCATACACGCAGTCTCTGAGACCTCACCACCCCAAGAGCCATTCCTCCTAATGTTCCTCCCGCTGGAGCCGGATCCCGGCCAGCCTCTGAAGCCTGGAGCTGGAAGAAGTCAAGAGACAGAGACCTGGAATTCAGGTTCGGGAAGGCAGTACTCTTACTAGAGGAGTAAGAGGCAGACAGGGAGCCAAAAGTCCACAACCAGAAGACAGTCTGGAAGAACACCTCAGGGCAGGGGCCAGGACAGCAGTGCGGCGGGTTGGTGGCAGCGCTAGGCAATCCAGACGCGGGAGCCGGGAAACCCGGACGCCCCAAAGCGCAGGAGCTGAGGGCTGAGGACTGGGCAGAGAGGGGGTACGGTGGTTCTCACCGAGTGGGCTACGCCCCACAGGAACACGCCCACCAGCGGGTCGGCCGCCCGGAACACCTTCACCTTCTGTTGCACGAAATGCTTCTTCTTGGTTTTGGAGGCAAAGCCGAAGCCCGGGCCTGGACCCGCTGTTGCCGCGGGTGCGGTGGCTGGCGGGACCGAGGACGCCATAGTCTCCCGCGCACCCGATTGAAGGGGAGCGGGAGCCGGTCGCAATCCAGGCGCCCGACCCCGGAAGCGGTGCTCACCTGCGCCGC